ACCGCCGAAACCTTCCCCAAGGCTTATTCTGAGCTTTTATGGTGGTCGTACAGTCCTTATTCCACCAAGGCTTGCATTTCTTGGGAATATTTCCAGAAGTTCGGGGAACTGACAGAGAGGCAGCATTTATAATTTTTTCGGTAAGATAAAGAGTCGCTTCCTCAGGAGACATAGCTAAAAAAACAGCGGGATCAACCACTGCCTCCAGAGAAAATAAAGCCCAGTCGGCTTTATCTAACTTCCACTTGGGAGCACAAGCTCGAAGAGAAGGAAGGGATACTGAACTTTCTAAAATTACAGGAAAATGGTCACTACCGAAAGGATTTTCTAAAACCTTCCAAGAAAAACAAGGAAGTAAAGTAGGTGATGATATGGAAAGATCAATGGAAGTAAAAGTATTATGAGGTGCACTTAAAAAAGTTGGTTGTCTCTTGTTTAAAAGGCAAAGGCCAGATGACAGTAAAAAGCGTTCTATGACACCGCCACGAGAGTCTTGACGAGCACTGCCCCACATGGGGTGGTGTGCATTAAAATCTCCTAAGATTAAAAAAGGCTGTGGCAGTTGGCCCACAAGCCCTTGCAGGTCATGTAAATGCACTGGAAAGTTTGGTGGAAGGTAAAGCGAAACAATAGTAATTAGGCGGTCAAGCAGAACACGAACTGCTACTGCCTCTAAGGGGGTTGCAAGAGGGACAGGCGCACAGGCAATACCACTCTGCACAACCACAGCTACTCCACCAGAAGAGGTGTTACAAGAAACACGGTCTTTTCTAAAAACCTGATGTCGCCGTAGTACCTGTGTATGTGTTTCATTAAGATGAGTCTCCTGTAAACAGATGGCAACAGGCTGGAGCTCATCGAGAAAAAAGTTGACATCATCAATATTACGAAAAAGACCGCGGCAGTTCCACTGCATTATACCTATATTTTTAACCATTTCAAACAAAATAAGTATAACATACAAATTAAATTAAAAAGCTATATTCCTTATGGTTTAAAATCTATTTTTACACGCGGTGCACTTTGTTTTTTGGGGGGGTTATTCTGCCTCCGATTAGAGTCACCGGAGGCAGAGGGGGTGGACTCTGATCTTGAGAGGAGAGCCTCCTCATCAGATCTCGACCCACCCTCGTCCATGGGCTCGTCTGCAGTTGCTGGCAGCTGGCCCTTGGAGGTCGACTGCTTTGCCACCTCCCCAGGCTTCCTCCGAGGAGCAGAGGTGTGGGGAGGTAGGCCCCGACCCCGAGAGGTCGAAGCAGCCGGTTGAGCAGGAGACGACATCTCCTGTTCTGGGGCGGATGCTGGCAAAGCAGCATTCACCTTGCGGTTCGGAGGCGGTGCCTTTGGCGCCGCTCTCGGGGGTTTAGAGGGGGACCGTGACGGGAGATGCAGGTCGTCCGGAGACGTCTGCGTTCCCATCGAAACTACTGGCCGCGCTGGTCCCCTGCGCACGGCCTCGGCATAAGACCCTTTTGATACAAAAGCAAAACGCTTCTTTGCCTCAGTGTAGGTAATGTTTTCGGTAACTTTTAATGTAAGAACTTCTTTCTCGTCTTTCCACACAGGGCAAGATCGAGAGTATGCCGGGTGGTTGCCACTACAGTTCGCACAATGAGGTTCATTATCGCACACATCTGCAACGTGTTCCTTGCTGGAGCACTTTGCACAGGTGTCCCTTCCCCGACAGTTCCGTGACCCATGGCCGAACCTCTGGCACTTAAAGCACCGTTGAGGGTTCGGCACATAAGGTCGGACCCGGCATTGAAGGTAACCTGCCTTTACAGTCTGCGGCAGAGTGGTCGAATCGAAAGTCAAAATTATATGTTTTGTCTTCCGTTCCACACCATCACGGCGGATAGTGATTCGTCGTGCATCTATAACTCCTTGACTAGAGAGGCCCTCAATTATCTCTGGCTCAAGTGAGTCAAGCAAGTCATCCTCAGAAATGACCCCTTGAACACTGTTCAGTTTGCGGTGAGGACTGACGCTTACTTTGTAGTCAGAGACAAGGTTCAGTTTAAGGAGGGCATCACTTTGCTGCTTTGTATTGACCTCGACAAGGAGATCATCAGATCCCATCTTCTTTGCATTGTAATTGGCGCCAATAACACCCTCAAGAACTTTGGAGACTAGAAAGGGAGAAAGTTTGCCAAGTGGCTTGTCACCTTCCGAGTGCATAACAAGGAACTTCGGGAATTTTTCCAGTACAAAAGATTGTTTCGTGTTCAGTGCTTCGGTGCGGCCCCTTTTGGGGGGCCGATCAAAATGTTTAAGTTTGGAACCCATATGAAGGGGGAGGGTTTTCGGAAACTGTGGTGCACCGCCCACCACCGAGCCCAACAAGGGAATAGGTAACGCTCCATAACAAGAATGGCTTGGCTGAAGACGTTACGCTATTAGTGCTGCCCAGTCTCTATAACCAAGAGTGGTTTTGGACAAGGTGTCTGTCGCCACCCAAGGTTAGCCCTTGCCGCCAAAGGAGTTGAAAAGGAAAGAAGAGAAATGAGAAGAGTGAAAAGGAGGAGAAGACAAGGGTGAAAGTAGAGAGGGGATAGTAGAAGTGGCGACTAGACTGAATCATCCTGGCCGGGCCTTACCAGGACTCCCGTCTACGAGAAGCAGGGGCCGAAGTGGTGTATTGCCTCACCCGGGGGGCCCCGAAGGGTCCAAACCTACCCCGTGTTCGGCTCAACCACCAGGATGCCCTTTTCCCCGGACACGGGAAAGCCACGCACAGCCATACGTGGGCGGGCGAACCCACATGGCTCGGGGTCCGTGGAGACGCCACTCTCCAGACACCTGCTTTCACAGGTGCCCCCTGCGGGGGCCGCGCCATAAAGGAAGTGAGAAGAAGATTCGCTGCATTTCGGCGAGCACAATGAAATGGCGCAACCTTTTCTAGGGGACTGCATCAGGGGGCAGGTGAGAGCCACACGAGAAACCTACCTTATTCGCGCACCTCTACAAGGCCGTGCGATGCGCGAGCGCACCTGTGCGAAGGCGCTGAAGCCAACAGTACCCTGAGAAAATTTCTGCCCCTTTGGCTATCCGTGTTCAGACCCCTCACTTTTCTTTCATCATGACCGTGACATTGCCAAGCGAAACTTGGAGCAACCGCCTATGGACGTTTGCAAATGTGGGTTCCCGACTGGTGCCCCATGCATAGGGTGACCATATTCCTCAAGATAAAAAACGGGACATTCCGACGAAAAAGGGGGGGGGGGGGGGGGGCGGAGGGGGCGTACTAAAGTTTTAGATTGGGTGAAAACATTTAATGAAATTCTATATGCGTGCTATTTCCACATGATTCTACATCCGTGCTATATCTAGTAACTCAAACAAAAAAAATGTCTACACACGCAATTTTGCGAGAGAAAAGGTGTTTGTGGGCAAGAACAGTTGTAAATTTTACTCTCTGGGTGAATATTAAAGTACCTACGATAATTAGAGCGCAGCTCTTAGGCGCCCGTTTCCGTCTTGAGCGGCGTCGCCGTCGTCATCGCCGTCGCCGTCACCGTCGGCGCAACCGCATGGTGCATTATGGGAAATATCCCATAATGCACCACGCGGGATTCTCGTGACGTCACGTGTGACGTCACGACGCGGAGAGGAGGAGGAGGGAGGAGGACGAGTGGCAGGGGAAGAGGAGGGGTGGAGGAGGAGGGGCGGGAGGGGAAGAGGGGCGAGGGGAGGAGGGAGGAGTAGGGGAAGGGGGAAGAGGAAAAGAGAAGAGGGGATGAGGAGGAGGAGAGGAGGGAGGGGTAGGAGGAGGAGAGGAGAAGAGGAGCTTGAAGGATGAGGGGAGGAGGAGGAAGAGGAGGGAAGGAGTAGCAGGTAGGATGAGGAGGTTAGGAGGAGGGAAAAGTGGTATACCCTTCCCTCCTCCTTTTCAAGAGCTGCGCTCTAATTCGGCGTTACAGGGCGTGTTGTAAACGGCTTTCATTTTTTTGTAAAATATATTTGTAACAAGAAGGCATAGTATCGGTCTGCGTCTACTCGCTTGGTACCAATTTCGAAACTATATGCTGCGAAAACGGGACATGATTCTATATTGGGATAAAAAGATGGGACGGCAGAAGTGGACCTCCAAAACGAGACTGTCCCGGCCAAAACGGGACGTCCGGTCACCTTACCCATGCATGCAAAGACTACAGTGTACACGTCAAGGTAGCTTTCGCAGGCTTGCACTTGAACGTGCATGCTCACACGAGCAAGAGCATGGTGGCGGCCAGATGCCTTATTTGCGATTTTCTATAAAAAAGTTACGCACACCGGGCTGTTTTATCTTAAAGGGCCCATGAAACGTATTTCGGGCTGGTATAAATCACTTCAGATTAGGATTTTACTAATAGCATATCGTTCAGTGGGCCAAAAGAAAACAGGTAGCAAGTCAAAAGCCTGACTTTCAAGGCGAAAATCTGAAACACAGCGGACTGTTTCGTACCTCCTCCCCTTCGTAAGCTCTCTGACTTTTCACTGTGATACATCCACGATTCCCAAAGCGCGTCGCCGGGTCCAAACGCACGTCACAGGATACCGGATCTCCCTTATTCCCTTCAGCCCTAAGCTGACATTGTGGTGGAAGCTACGCGCTTGCCTGACCAATCAGCCGCCTCCCTTTCACTACCTGACCTCATTCTGTGCGCGTGGGTATGCGCGAGGGAGCGTGATCACGTGGCAAAAGTGTGGCTGGCCCAACGAGCACGTAGCTTTCACAGCAATGTCAGCTTCGGGGTGAAGGGGGTGGGGAAAGTAACTTTTGTCTGAATTTTGAGCGACGGGCTAACTTTCTACGGGGTCAATGGCTCGGTCCGGGTACACAGACCAGATTCCGAGCAAGAGGGGCCTCCCCTCTTTTCGTTTTCTTGAACTGTTTGGTAGAATACGCGATTTATGAGTTGGGGAGGAAAGCTAAACAGGAAGAAGTTGTAAAAGCGTTTCATGACCCCTTTAAGTAAAGTGCCTGTCTCTCCTAGGGCACAAGTCTACGTGTTATGGGACCCTAGTTCTTGAAGTTCAAAAGCGAAACACGCTGGAGGCTAGAGGACGGGTAAGTACGCATATGCACTTCCTCATTTTGACGATTCTTGTTTGATTGATATTACGAAGTAAGACAGACAGCATGTCGTGGCATTCGTTAACATATAGACTATAGTTGGCCATCGTATTCAACGTCTGGGCTCAAGTATATACTAACGCAACAAATATGAAATTAAACGGCATGACGCGAAGTGCGCGCTGCGTGCGTGGTACTACCATATCTGTTTCTTGCCTCATTCAACAAACTGTGAGGCGCCACTCTGCACTTCCGTGTCGTCTGCTAGTGAACAAGGAGAGGTAACATGTCTTGGTTTCATCAAATCCTAAAACCATTGCACGCCACAGCATAAATCTATCGCAAACGTTCTCAGAACAAATTCCGCAGCACCCTGACTTATGATAACGCAGTTATCAGTCTACGGTTGAGTTGCCTAAACACGAGTGTTTCTTTTTATTTATTTATTCGGAAGAGACACATTCTAAACCGCCGAGAGTCGCGATAGAATTGCGCTTGTCAAAGTGCAATGGTAGACAAAGTCGTTAGCGACGATGTGGCTCGCAAAATTTACGCCTACAGGAATTGGGGCTGACCTGGGAGTACACCACGCGAACAGCGTTCTCAAGCTACGAGGGACGAGGCGATCAGCAAGTTCGTCGCAGCTGTATCGGTGAAACCTTTCTAGTTGGAGCGGCAACTTCGGGGGAAACCTGGCGATCGAGGCGTCTACCCACGGACTGTACGGCCTCAGTTCAACACTCCAGTCCCCCGAGCAGGCAGCACGGCAGCGCAGAGCAGTGTTGCCAGATGGTCCCACCAAAAAACCGCCAAACGACTGGGAGGTATAGCTTAAATATAGCCAAAGCCGTAAAAAAAATATAGCCGAAAATAGCCAAGACTAAAAACAATGGGTTTTAACCCTTATATTGATGATTTCTCACACTCATACAATACACGTTACAATCTTTGTTTCAACCCTCAGATGCACCTCCTTTTGTGTACATTATGTTACTTGTGAATTTGTCAAGAAAAGCTTCGACAGAAAGAAAATCCGTACAAAACTGGACCTTCCTTTGTAGCTTTCAAAAGTACAAAACACACAGACAGCTTTATTGTGAAGCCCGGGAGATATGATCATACAGTAAAAGAACAAAATACAGACGCAGAACAGTCAGAGCATTATGTATTTCAAACCAGAACCCCAATATCTGAGGTTCTTACGATATCCCCCCCCCCCCCCCCCCCCCGTCTCTTTTTCTTTGTGAAGAATATTGGTGTCACCCATTCATGTTCACACTATTTTTAATTGTGTGTCCTTTCTTGGAGTGCACAACGACTGGAAGGTAGTCGATTGTTTAGCGGTAAAACAGCGGACATCTCATTTTTACAAACTTGGGTGCCCAAAAATCCTCACAATGGGCGCCAAAGCAGCATTTGGAGAGTTCAGTCTACGTCCGGGCAGAGCCATATGCGTCCGTGTTGAAGGCACGCTACCGGGCCTGAGGTAATAGTGCAATCTGTTTGGCCTGCTCCACTGCACTGTATGGAGACCGCATGAACTCTGCAAGCATTGCTTCACTGCGCATTGTGAAAACCCCGAAGTTTGTAGAAGTTTGAAGCCTTTCTCCTTCCTCTCTCTCCTCTCGACTAGCCAAAAGAGAAACAATTTTTTTTCGAAACTGATTAAAAGTTCGAAAATTAACTAGCCGAACCTCAAAGTTAGGCGTCGAACTCGAGGTTCGACAAAAATTCGCCGCATTCTTAGAAATAGCCCAAAATAGCCACATAGCCAAACACAAAATTTTGACGCCAACTAGAAAAAAAGTAGCCCAATCTGGCAACACTGGCGCAAAGTGGCACCACAAACACCAAAGGAAATTTGACTGGGCCTCAACGCTGATCACAGTTTGCCGAATAACGCGACAGTCGACTCCGAAAGTACATGCGTGTCACGCGCTATCGCGTTTCAGATCGTTGGCCACGATAATACATCCGCGTCCGCGGCGTTCAGGTGTGCGCGTTTCCGTTCATATTGAAAAACACCAACTGGGGAAAGTTCAAAAAATGTATCTTTCTGTAAAGAATAAAAATCCTGGCGCTAATACAGACATCTCTCGTTAATACTGACCCGGTCGGTTAATATAAATGCCCCACTCTATGGACATTTTTGGGAACGAACTGGTTAAGTACGCGCATTTTGTTTCGTTATTATGGACAACGCATATTATGGACACTTTTTAGGGGGTGCGGGAGTGGCCTTAGTGGCAAAACATCACTGAAGTATTAAAAAATAAAAAATAAAATCTCTACACATGTGCCACTTCAAACATTTACATTATTATCCAACAGTGCGCCACTGAGTCGTACATCGAGACAGCTGCCACGTTGAGTCTCGGTGTGTTCAGAGACTAACATTGCTTGCATGAAAGCCGTGAAACAACAGCAGAGGACTGGAATATCACCAGCGTATGTATTGCTTTATACCACTTACTGCTTTCGCCTAAGCGTGCGAAGACTTGCAAAAGGTACCCCAAATTACTTTAATAAGGGACTGCAATCTACACCGCACGTTTGCATTAGACAGCCGCACCTACAGCCCCAACTCCATAACGGTGGCGACCCCTAGCGTTCGAGAGAACACATACGCATCGCACGGTCCCCACTATATCGCTTTTGCGCTGCGCGGAGGTAGAGGGCGCTGCCGACGCACCGAGATACCGTATTGGCCAAAACAGCACACTCTCAGACAAAAAAAGGAAGAAAACAGTAGCACCGGCACGGTTTCCTCCCTCCTACTGATGCGCCTACAAACGGGCACGAGAAGAAGGGAGGAACGAGACGTTGTAAAGCGATAGCTTTATGGACCACACTTTGGAGCGGTGTTGTCCTCGTCGCCCGTCGTCGCCGCGCGGGCGAAAAAATGAAAACACACTTTTTCTCTCTCTTCTTTCTGCGAGGAAAAAGTCGAGAATCCGTCCGCCGTGCCACGCAAAGCTAGAGAAGACAAGCGAAGAGGACAGCCCCGGCGTCCCGGCAAGATGGGCGATTCTTCGTGTCGTCTGCTTGAAAGGCTTGTCTTAAAACACTACTCGCGTTAGGCGAAATCCCACTTGGTCACTATCCACTTGCTACGCGTATAGGGCGAATCACACAGTTGCGTCGATTCCGACCGAGTGCTAGTGCAACGCCTTCTGACGGACGGGTTGCTATGAAAACAGCTGCGTCGGCTCCAACAAAACCGGTTTCGCAGCTGTTGCCATGCACTCTTAGAAAAAAGGGTATCTATAGTCCTCCCGAAAGGAAGGAACAATCTTGTAACCTATGGTTCCTCCATAAAAGGAGAACCGTTCGTCCCTAAAGCAGTGGAGCAAATGTGCCTCCGTCACCTGCATCTCATTATGGCTTCTCCGAATCGAGCATATCGAGCTAAATAAGGCTTAATGAGGACTCTATGTCTCCTGTTCGGGACGAGAGGAGCAGCAAATGAAAGCGTAACCCGAGCTTTCCGCGAACTGTGTTTATTTCCGAAGCCCGCTTCCGCCCGCAGGCAAAGAGACTTCCGTTTCCAAAGCAGTTACTGAGTCTTCTCGTCCTCAGCACTGCAGTGTTAAACGAAGACAGCCGATACCCAGTTACTTTGCTATTCCTCGAGTCACAATTCCTTCGTCAACCGCATATCACGGAGAAATGGTAAACCAATTCGCGAAACCGAAAGCCGCTCTCAAAAGAACAAACTCGAAGCCGTTGTTGCACGGTAACCAGAAATTATCGCGTAGCGTGAAAGAAGGCTTAATCGCTTTCCACCAGGTGGCAGGGTGGAGCAGAATAATTTTAAGTAGCTAAGCTAGGTGATGCTAGGTAACGCCCAACTCAGCAGTTCTACAAAAATATTTTTATTTGCTTCCGCCACCATTGCGCTTGTGGATCTTCGAGAACCTTTATTATACACATATTTAGACACATTACGCATACTACAAGCATCAGCTGAACGTATACATTGAGCGCACACATATACACGGCACATAAAAACATCAATACAACCGAACACTAACCCGACTAACCCGATCACTACTCATGAGCTCTGCGTTTCCGTTTTCATAATGGTCGTTTTGAACGTAGGGAATTTCTCAGTGACCGCCTAAGCAATAAAAAATATTCCCAGCATGTTGATCTTTTTCCAGCAATGTCATACCTCTGAGAGTATTTTGAACGGCTCAGGGGATGAATTTCTTAGTAAAAATAAACGCTCATGCCGTAATTATTTGAAAACTTATAAATCAAGCCGCTCTAATGCGGTTCCAAGCCATGCGCTTGTTTTCCCGCACGGCACGTCGCAGCCAGTATTTATCTGGAGGTGTTTGTTTTTCTCTTTGTGCTGTTCGTGTACAGCTGAAATTCTCGTCTTGAATTAATCTCTCTAGAGCGGATATTCACTCAGCTGGAAGCGATGCTTCATGGGCAGAGAAATCGCGTTTCGATCAACTTGAATGCAGTCAAAGCCGCGACTTGCGGCAGGTGCCAAGTGTACGGAGATATGCCATGGCGAGCTCGAAAACTATTAGCGCTCATCCCAGCGCCCCACTTGGAGGCCAGTTTCTCCACGAACCGTAGTATATTTAAATAGCAAAATAAAGGCTAGCTTTTTTTTTTTCGATTTTATTTACCATTTTTCCTTAATGCTAAAATTCCAAACTGTAGATATACGTACTTTTCGTCATATTTTCATACTGTTCAGTCCTTTCCACAGAGCGCAATCTCCCTCGGGGAGGAGGCATCTGACAGTCACATTGGCCACTGCTTGATAGGAGCTATGGTTCAGACCAGTGCTCCAACATGACTATCCGCACGTCGATCGATTGCACCTAATCCCTCAATTGGTCTTAAACTTTTTAGTGTAAAGCGGAATGTCAACCAGCGACATTCCACCCCTTCCGATCACTGCCCGACCAGCGGTATCAATGCCCGACAACTCATCTTTTTGTTGCACCACTGGTACGCGAACACGTAGTCAC